CCCCCACCCCCTGCCACCTCCCTGGACAACAGCTGATGGGTTGAACTTTAAGACCTTTCAGAAAGCAGTCCAGTACTTTACTGCAGACCAGGACTCTTCATAAAAGATAAACTATATGAAGAAAATTGAAAATATTCATATAAGTTAAAACTTGGGATTAACAACACAAACTGTGGAGTCCAAAATCCCCTTTTTCATCTTGTCGATTTCAATCATAGAGACCCTGTAGGACAGAGTAGCACTGCCTCTTAGGGTTTCCAAGAGTTGTAATTTTTACTGAAACAGACACATCTTTCTTGCTTGAGAGCAGCCGGTGAGTCTCTTTTGTCAGTTTCCTCAATGAAATATGTTGTTGAGTTTCTTGACTGTTACTTCCATGGGACTTGAGTGTGACTCCAAGTAAAATGAAATCCTTGACAACTTCAGTATTTTTCTGCTTATCATGATGTTGCCTATTGATTCTTCATTGTGAGGATGTTTGTTTTCTTTACATCGAGGTGTAATCCATATTGAAGTCTTTGATCTTCATTATATTTTAGTTCTTGGCGCTTTCAACAAGTAAGGTTGTGTTATCTGCATATTGCAGGTTGTTAATGAGCTTTCCTCCAATCCTGATGTTGTATTGGTGTTCATATTGCTCAGTTTCTCCGATTATTTGCTCAGCATACAGTTTGGTGATGAAAGGATACAACTTTGACACACACCTTCCCTGATTTTAAACTACTCAGTGCCCCCATGTTCTGTTTGTACAGCTGCCTCTTGGTCTTTGTATAGGTTCTACACAGCACAATTTAGTATTCTGAAATTCCCCTTGTAAATGTTTTCCGTAACTTGATGGCAATTAACAACAGCCATGTATTAAGTTCTTGATATGTTATAACCTTTAGTTCTCCCTCACAACAGGATTATTGTTGTTACTAAGTGCCTTGCAGTCGGTTAAGGTTCATAGCAACCCTGAATAGGGTTTCCAAGGAGCAACTGGTGGGTTTCAGCCACTGATCTTGTGTTAGCAGTCCACACAACAAGATTAGCAGGTAGCATAGTGGTTATGAGTTGGGCTGCTAACCTTAAGGTCAGAAGTTTGATACTACCAGTGGTTCCATAGGAGAAAGATGAGGCTTTCTGCTCCAGTAAAGATTTACAGCCTCGGAAATCCTATACAGGGTTGTTATGGGTCGGAACCGACTCAATGGCGCTTATTATATCCACTTTACAGATCAGGAAATTGAGGCTTTGAGCTGTAACCCAGACCTGGCTGAGTCTACAGTCCTATCTTTTCACAGCAACATTTTGCCTTCTTAAATGAAGGGCCTGGTGGACACCTGGATCCAGAGAGTTCAAGGCACATTTACGTATTTACACCTCACTCCTACTGAATGTACTCCTGAAATCACTCCAGTCTCTTTTCCTAGAACCCAAGGTGTTTATGAGGACTCACACAACTCTCTTCATGTCTCTAGGAGCTGCCTGCACATTGAGCTTGGGATGAGGTTCAAACATTTCAAGCTGAGAACCAAGACCCTTCGTGATCTTGGCCCAAATATTACTGTAACTGTTTTTTCCCCCAACTTTCAGTGAGTCTGCAGTCGTGGTTGGTAGAAATGGTTATTACACTTGACTGTTAACTGAAAATTTGAAAGTCAGAGTTTACTTAAAAAGAAAAAAGACATCCTCCAACAGCCTTCTCTACTCAGCGGGGTTCAACAATTTGTTGCAATAGGCACACAGAACTAGGCACCATATTCACAGTTAGGGGTTTAATGGGAAAGTTAACAGTTTACAGTGCAGGGTTTGAAAAGGCTCAGGACACAGTTGTTCCAGTCAGGACAGCCTCCCCTCAGCCATGCCCACAGACAGACCTCTCTCAGCAGGGCAATGTTACAAAGGTCTGTTTAGGCTGCTGATAAATACTCACAGGGTGCATCACTCTACTAAGCCTCAGCCTGAAGGCACTTGACTCTAATTCCATGGATCAGCAAGCCTAGCTCCCCCAATTGAGTGCCTGGATGCACCCCACTTTTCAAATAAGCCTCCTATCCAACATCTTTCTGCCTTCCTCACTCCGCCTGTGGGCTAGGAAGGCCACCACGCTGGTGAGTGTTGTGGCTCTTGGTTCTGCGGCTGCTGCTCCTTAGCCACTCTTGCAGGGTCCCAGCTTTCTGTCCCTGGGTCAAGGAGGGTCCATTAACATTGATCTCAGGGTCCCAAGGACACGTTCCACTCCTGACTCTTTGATCGTAATGAGATTCCTTCGTTCCTGCTTCTAAGATGGCTCATTGTACACATACTAGAGTTCCACGTTTTGACAGTCACAGTTGACTCTTTTACCCATTCACCATGGAATCATATAACTCTATCAGCATCTTCTCCCACCTTCCCTTACCCAGACCCAGCAGGGCAAAAATGGTGGCTAAAAGAACCTTATGAAGTAATTCATTGCATTGCAGGCCACCCCGGATCTACTAGCCATTGGCCCTTTCATACTTCAATGATGAACTTTTCTCCATAGCAGTCCTGGTGTGAACTGTGGGTTAATGCACTGAATTGCAAGGTTGATATGAACTGCAAGGTCGGTGGTTCAAGCTCACCAGCCACTCTTGGAAACCCTATACAGTGTCACTATGAGTTGGAAGCGATTCCACAGCACTTAACAACAACAATAACACCCATGAAATCTTGTAAGCTAGCTAGTTCATGCATTTATCTCCTCTGGTACTTAACAACAACACTTTAGTTGTTACTGTGGTGTGGCACTGTAAGATAAGCACTGGACTACTAACCTCAAGGTTGGCAATTTAAACTCATCAACTGCTCTTTGGAAACTCTATACAGGGTCACTATGAGTTGAAATTAACTCAGCAGCACTTAACAAAACAACAATTTGAGATAGCCAATAGCTAAGCTGCCTGTCCCTATCGACTTAGTACTCTGAGGAGACAAGCATGTACCTTGATGTGAAGAATCTTCATTCTAGTTGGAGCTTTGAACATCTGCATCCATAAGCAAAATCCAGTCTGAAGCAAGCCTCAAAATTGCAGCAATTTACACCAATTCACAGTAATAACACAGCTCTCTCCTTTATTATGTTAGGTTCTGGGATAGTCGGCCTTAGTCATCCGAACTATGTCAAGCTTGGGAGTCCACATACACCTTCTTGCACTTTAGACCAAGCTGGCCCTTTCTCTCTCTGTCCTAGCCCTCATGGGCTAGGTTGGTACCCATAGGCTCAGGAATCCACACCACTCCCTGAACTTCAGACCAGCCAGCCCGTCCTCTGTCCTCTCCTCTCTCAACCCATCTTTACATTGGTGCATTCTCCACACTTGCATTCAACAAGTGCGCCCCGTTGGTCACTAGTGAGCATACCAGGCTGTCTGTTTGCCGACTCTTTTTACATTCAGTCCTAGAACAGGGTGTTCTCTGATGGGCACAGATATTTCCTGTCTCATCTCATCCAGCGGCAAAACACTTGCCCCAAATTCAAAATACCAGTCATTTTTCTTTCTGCTGGTCTTTCCTTCAAATATAAATCCCCTGTTCTTTCAGCAGTTCTGTGTGGGGCTAAGCCCCTTACTCTACAAAGGCTTAGATCAAAAACTTTGTTTCTTCTAGGCAATTTTAAACTCTCCTTTTAGTATATCCACTTCTTGTTGTTGTTATATGCTGTGGAGTCGGTTCCGACTCATAGCGACCCTGTACAGGGTTTCCTAGGCTGTAAATC